AAAAACTCCAACCATCACCCAAGTCAAAAAAGAAGCACAATTAAAACCTTGGCAGACCGTGCAAAAAGAATCTGCGAACCCCACCTCCTCCAAGATGAACTGAACCACCTAAACTGGGCTCTACAGGCCAATGGATACTCCACCTCAGACATCAGAAGAGCTGCAAGACAGAGAACAAGCCACGAGAGTCAAGACAAAGATCCACCCAGAGGAAAAGTGTTCCTGCCATACATCAAAGGAACCACTGACTGCATAGGGAAGCTGATGAGGAAATACAACATACAAACTATCTACAGACCCACCAAGAAAATCCAATAAATGCTACATTCAGCAAAGGACAAGAGGGATCCTCTCACTTCTGCAGGAGTCTACCGTATTCCATGCAGCTGTGGACAAGTCTACATAGGGACCACCAAACGCAGCATTGCCCAAACACGAATCAAGAAACATGAAAGGCACTGCACACTACTTCAACCAGAGAAGTCAGCCGTAGCAGAGCACCTGATGAACCAACCTGGACACAGCAAATTATTTGAGAACACAGAAATGCTGGACCACTCTAACAACCACCATGTCAGACTACACAGAGAAGCCATTGAAATCCACAAACATGTGGACAATTTCAACAGAAAGGAGGAGACCATGAAAATGAACAAAATCTGGCTACCAGTATTTAAAAAACTCTAAAATTAAAACAGCAAAACAGCAGAGAGAATACAATCAGGGACATCTCATCACCTCTTAACAAAAGATTGCTCCAGGCAATGCTAATCAAGGTGGTCAGTTGAAACATTCACACCTAGCTCCAGCAGACAAGAGTTCTTTGCCCTACCATGATCTTTCCACAGATATATAAACCCATTTTCCTAGTTCCAACAGACCTCACTACCTCTGCGGATGCTTGCCATAGATGCAGGCAAAATATCAGGAGAGAATGCCTCTAGAACATGGCCATATAACCCAAAAAAACCCACAACAACCCAGTGATTCTGGCCATGATAGCCTTCAACAATACAATATCTATTCTCCTTTGGTGAGACCTCATCTGGAATAACATTGTCCAGTTCCAGGTACCACAATTCAAGATTTAGAAGCTGTAACGTGTCCAGAGAGGGGTGACAAAAATAATCAGAAGTTTGGAAGCCAAACCGTGAGTAGCGGTTTAGGGAGCTGGGTATGCTTAGCTTGAAGGCTGAGGGGACCTGAGAGCCACGTTTAAATATTAGAAAGGATGTCACATTAAGGAAAATTGTATCTCTTTGTTTTGAAGTTGTGTGAAAGAAGTAAACATTGCTGTACCAATAAAACAACCTTTTTTTAAAAGTGATTAGCCCAATGTATAACTAATTGCCTGCTTGCTTCTTAAGATCTCTGCCCAGTAATGGGAGGATTGAAGGTAACAGAGGAGTGGAAGAGTCTCCACAAGTTTTAAATAAAAATTAATGAAGACCAAATGTAAATTACATTTTGCAGAGTCTTACATTCTTAAGCAACTATAAAATCTGAAGTACATGGCTTTACATCTAAGAAATATTTTGTCCTAGTCTTTCAAGTAAAAACCAGGGTGGCATAGTGGTTTGAGTGTTGGGCTACAACTTTGGAGACCAGGACTCAAATCCCTGCTCACTAATGAGTTAGCCAGAGGTAAGAGATGCTAGGGACTTCTGTTTAACCTCTGAAGTAGCATATAACTCCTAGCCCCTGCTGTAAAGCCATGCAAGGTTTATCCTTTTGTCACTGACAAAATCTATCCTGCCATATATCTTCCCACTTTTTGCAGAACCCTGCTTTCCTTACTATATGCGTTTTCAATCCACTGGAACAAAAGGCAGAATGGGAGTACTACTATGTAAAATACCTTAAAAGTCCACATGCATGATCTATAGAAGGAAGGGTACAGAACTCTGCTCACAATACTTCTGCTTTACTAAAATATGTTTTTATTAAAAGAAAGGCTTAGGAGAGACCAGTCTTTCAAAAGGGAACAGCTCCCCACATTACTGCATACATCAGATGTACAGCACATTTACAGGTTACAGTGAAAAAAACAGACAAGGTGAAAAAAATAAGCCTTTTTATTATTATTTCAGCTTTAACATTCCAATCACAGAGTATACATAAAACTAAAGAAAAATGAATTAAATAATTTATACACTGGACAAACAACAGTTTCAGTATTAGACTTAACTGCTCTCAATATCTGTGCAAATGAACAGTATGGCTTTATACAGTTTGTTTTAATGCAATGATATCACCCACACATTTTATTCCATTCAATCAAAGGATTTGCATCACATAAAGGATTTACAAGTTGCTCTGTGTCTGCTCTCCCTCCCACAAAACGAGTACAGAAAATAATGTACATATGACAGCATTGGAATATTCTACTATAAGTTGTGGTAGGAGCTTCAGTGTGTATCCACCTACAGTTAACAGCACAATGACAGAACAAACTTGACACTCAGTTGTCATTTGTTGAGCCAACAAAATGCACCTCTTAAAAGGACACAGCCTGCTTGTTTTTTAAACATTACAATATAGAAAAGCTGGGCAACTTGTAGTCTCCAGATGTATCACACTGCAGTTTTCTGCATATCACACCATTGGATAGACTAGCAAGGGTTGATCTGTTGTCCAATATCAACTAGAGGGCAGCACTTTGTCCATCCTTGCCATGAAAAAACTGAGCACTAGGGTAAAACATGAATTTTCAGATACATGAATATTGCAATGCCTGCGACTTCTTGCAAAATTCAGACCTATGAACCAAGTTTTACTTGGCAAATAAAGACTACACATACACATTCTTAACTCTCAAAAATATCAACTACAAAAAAATTACTTGTACTTTTTGAAATCTGAGTCAAATAGCTAGCACTAGCAATCTTTTCTGCTCATAAAATCCAACTACAAAAATTAGGAGTCCACGTGGTAAATAATACCCAGCAGACTTATTCAATTGTTCAAGTTTCAGCCACAACTTAACATCATTGCATTTAAGACCTAAGATTTATTTTAAAAGCAAGTGAAAACATTCACCTCCCCCTTTCCCCAAACAAAGAAAAAAATAGTTTGTAAAAATCAGGCTTTAGGTTGAAAACCAGTTATTTTGGACATAGAAGCATTCCTACATTGCTTCCACTAGCAGAAATCATGCATATTTGGAGGAAATATGTGCCAAACCCTGCTTCTCTCTACAGTTCCAGCATCCTATTTTCTCCACTACTTTGTAAGAACCTAGTCATCCTCCAGAGCATTTTGAAGAGGAACATAAAGGCTGTTAACTCGGTAACAAGGGTTTCTCAGTCACCCTTCTGTGGACCTGAGATATTCTATATCCAGCCCTCTGGCAACAACCTTAAATATGTGAATATTTGCCTACGTCAGAGGCATGGCGAAAGTTGGCCTGTTCAACCTATAAGTCAAGAGGTTTAACAACTGGAAGAAGTTTTGATGTTGCAATTGGGTTCTTTGGGGATCCTCTATAGCGAGCCTTTATTTCCGTTTTCCTGAGAGTACACTTATCAGGTGTAGCACCTGAAACACGCATGCTTGCATTCGATTTCAGAACAATTTTTGGTGCTTCATGATTAGTTAGGTCCTCAAGGGCAGACTTGGGGTGATTTGCAGTTGTCACTGCCTCTTTGCAGTTAGTACCATTTTTGCTGGCTTTCTCCAGCTGCTGAAAGGATTTGGAGGATTGAGCCAAGCGATCACACATCGCCATTTGCTTGCATGTTGGTACAGAAGGCAGAGATGTAGCTGAAGAGGTTTTGGGCATACCTTCTGCACAGGAGGACAGTGCAGTTTCATAACTAACTGATCTAACAAGAGGGGAGCAGTCATCACCAGGTTTCACTACTTTACAAGTAACTGTCTTCTTACCACCTTCTAAGAGGGAGTTCATCTTCCTTATAGAATGACGAACTGGAGTCCGCTGGAAGTTAAGTGGTGGCTTTGTTTTGGTTGCAGAACATGGTTCATTTAATGAAAGTTTGTTGAACCAATGTATGTGGTCAGCAACCTTTCCTGAAGGGGAAGATTTAGATTTCTCACATACATCCAGGTGTGGGTACCGTTTGCTATTTCTATCTCTATCTTCTTGTAACAGAGAAAGATGTTCTTTTGATTCAAGGTGTCTTCCAGTCTCTGTTTCCAATTTACAGTATGTAGGTTCTTTAACCACAGTCACTCCTTCTGTGCTGAATTGCTCAGTGGATTCCAGTATCTCCTTTTGAAGAGTACTTGTGCTATTTAACTGGGTCTGCGAAGAAGTTTTTGCAACCAGCTGGTCCTCATTTTCAGGTAGACCAGGGACTGCATGATCCATCTCAGCACTATTTGGGGACAGTTGTCCTTCCATATAATTGATTTCATTTTTACTTGACAGAAATGTGTCAATTCCACTTAATTCATTAACAGAGTTTGTAAACATCGTATTCTGCTCTACATTTGACATTATCTGAGCTGTAGTTTTAAACTGGCCCCTCTCTAGGTTATTTCCTGTAAGGCACATTTTTCCTACTGATGAATTTGATTTTGATGTCTCTGCTTCAAGTAAATTATGAAGATTGCTTCCGGATTGAGAAAATGCTTTCTTGATTTTCAGTAAAGTGTCTGCAGTCAGATTATTTTCATCTTCATAAAAGGATGTTTGCTGTTTATTACCATCCTGTTCAGTTCTTGCAACCACAGTCTTAACTGGAATGACTGGCAGTTCTCTGGTTGTGAGAACAGGCTCTACTTTACACCTTCCCACTGATGCACTTCCTCTGCTACAAGTTTCCCGAGATTCTGTGGAACTAGGGCCAGTCCAGGACATTCGGTAGCTTGCTTCATTACTTTTGACAATTTTCAAGTTTTCTTCTGATTTGCTGTTCTTGGGACCTAAAAAAGATAGGTTTTTTTAAATCTCAGCAAGTTACAACAGCTTGCATTACACTGGTGTTAATATTATAATTTCCACATATCACTGTAATCAAGTATTTACAAGAGTGCACAGTCAACCTGTTGAGATGAAGGTAGTCTTTCACTGAGAAAATACAAATGCCAGTTATACTACTCAATTTTCTCTGCACATAGGGACATAGCAGTGCCTGTAACAATCATGCTCTCTGGTTCTAGTTCACATTTCCAAGATGATAAATTTCCATGTTTGGAATAAGGGGGCAAAATTAAAAGAAAGATCATCAATATGATCAAAATTTGTTGAGTTGCTTTTTGCACCACATAAATTACAGATGGTGCCAAGGAATAATAATCTTTTATCTAAAATGTGTGTGTGTGTGTGTGTGTGTGTGTGTGTGTGTATGAGTCAGGGGACTATCCCACCCTCCTGCCCCTCAAATGCCTTAGCATCACCTGGAAAAGACAAAGTATACCCACAATTTAAAACTGTTGCCCCATAAGAAACACAACAGTACACAACAGCTGCTCACTCTACCCTTCTCCAAAATCAGCCCAATTCAGCTCCTACTATGCATTAAGGTCAGATAGTTAAAACAGTTATGAACCTTAGCATTGACTACCTGTCTTAAGAAGGCAAATCCTCAAGAAAACAACTAAACAATACAGTGATGACAAATTGTTGGTGACATGAAGAGTAAGGAGCAGAGAAACTGTTTTGCACTGACCAAAAATTCTGTAACTGCTTTCATTTGAGCACAACTACAAAGATGAAACATTGTAGATGTATTTTCTTAACAAGCCTTATTTACCATTCACTGTTATAAACTCACCAACATATGGGCTAAACAATGCACTTGTCTTCACAGAAGCGAACTCACTTTCCATGTCTTGTTGACTTGCAAGTCTGCGACCAATATTTTCAGATCTGTTAACAGCAGAGTGCTCCTTTCCTAAATTCTTTTCACATTAAAAAATAATAGCTAGAACATTTAATAAGTGATCTCACAAATGCTTTTATGTTTGTGATAGGAATGCAAGGGAAATATTCCTTTTATCTCCTCATTTCTATGTTACAGAGAGCTTGACAATCCATATCAGTAGTGGTGCAGAAATTAAACATATTACAATAGCAAACTTGTGGTTGGGCAAATGCAGAATCAGGAGGGAAAGGGCATAGGCAAGATAACTGTGGAAATAGTTGTATGCCTGGTGGCAGATATTGGACATTAAGAAGCATCAATGCTCACCAGTTTATGAGTTTGGGGCAAAAAAAATATAACATGAGCAAACATGATCATGCAACATAGAGATTGATGTTCATTAACTGTTTAGCTTTCCAATGAGTACAACTTTTGAGGACTATAAGCAACAGTTAGGCTACTGTTATCTCCTCTACTTGCTCCATCACGCAAAATAAGAAGTATACTGAGGCCCCTTCTACATTGCTCTGTAACCCAGATTATCAAAGATAATCCACATTATCTGCTTTCAAATTATTATTATTATTATTATTATTATTATTATTATTATTATTAACTTTATTTTTACCCCGCTAGCATCTCCTGAAGGACTCAATGCGGCTTACAAAAGCCAAGGCCTCAAAACACAACATAACAATACAAATGGATTATATGAGTTTATGCTGCCACACAATCCAGTTCAAAGCAGATAATCTGGATTTTATTTGGCAGTGTAGAAGGGGCCAGAGTTACAGGGCACAGTGGATGCTGAAAAAGTATCAGCTTTACTTATATATAGTAGCTAAGTATGGTATTGAGAAATATGCAGGATACCTCTTTGCTGCTTCTTCCCAGAATGAACTTTAATCGCAATGACCTGCGAACCATTTCTTTCCGGCTAATTTTAGGAGAAAAGCAACCCATTTTTCCAGAGTCAGCCCTGAAAGCATAGAGAAATAAGCCCCTTAGATATTGTTTTGAAGTTTTAATATTTTAATACTGAAATAAACCAGCTTTTATTAACTGAAATCATTTTTCAAGAATGAACAGCATTTACATTAAAAAGAAATTGAAATGCTATACAAAAGTTCTATCATGCCAATTAAAAGAATGAGTTAAGAATGGACAAGAGAAACAACAGTGGGAGAACAAAAAGATAACTTGTAACTTTCAAAATAACAAATGCAGAGAACTCTGTTTATTGACGTTCATTCATATTTTTCAAAGATTAAGATCAATTCACTCTTTAATTATTAGAACTCAAACAGAAATAGCATTTTCCTTTCTGATTCTGTAGTGTCAATATTTTGACAAGATTACCTATGTACTTTTTTGCTGGCAATTCTTTTGCTTCTTCGACTTCCTATATTAAGTAGGTGATTTTCACCACTGATTGAGACAGACAGTGAATTCTGAAATACCTCCAGTGATGCAGGACTTGATTCAAATTGAACTGCAGAAGAAAGGTTTAAAGAAACAAGTTGTTATTTTAAATTATCTATAGCTGACCTTTCTGCCCTGCAATTTTACAAATACTATGAACTCTCAACTAGTTAAATTGGAAACATGATTCAAATAGGTATTACTCTACCTGATCCAGGTGTTGAGCTAAGGCTAAAAAGGCTATCTGGTAACAGTTCAAGGCCCATGTTATGCCTGATAGATCGTCTTTTCTTGCTAGAGAAGCCTTGAGAGGAATCAGCAGGATATTTGCGCTTTGAACTCGGTGTAACAATCACTGGAGTCACCGGTGCAAAAGCTGTAAAAAAAGTGATAACTGCAATAATTGTAATTGAAATAATAGTACTCTGCATTTGAAAAAATCAGCAGTAGTTCCAGGAGTAAATATGTTGATAAGAGAATTACTAGAGAAGACAGGAGTTAAAAGAAATTGTAAGTTAAAGAAATTTGAAATACACAACTGACTCAGTCTTGGTTATTTGTGTGCACTGACTTAGAAATACCTCTGTCTGGCTGTTTCTTTCCTAATTGCTTCTCCACAGATGATAAAGGCATAGAGAGCCATGCATTATTTGCAGCAGAATGCAAGAATATCACAATGGGAAATGTTATCAGAGATAGCAATATTTCTCAAACAGGAAGTAATCTTTACTGGTTATCATGGCTGAATACTAATCCATGGCACTCAAGCTTCAGTAGACAGAAACAAAAAGCCCTTCCAATGAGAAAATTCCCATGACCAACGTGACAGGAAACTTGCAAGCAAGCCAGTGTTACAGACATGCTTACATACTGATCTGCTATGACTTGAGAACATGATATGCTGTGCTTCATGCAAATGTACTATACCTACCACATGTGTCTCTTTGAGGTGTTGTGGAGGGTGTTCTGTTAGATTTAAATTTATTCAGAGCTCCACTAAAAACATCTGAAATTGAAGACACCATGCAATAAAGGTCTCAGTAGGAACTTTACTTTGTTCAATTGCTAAACATAGAAAATGCTTTTTTAATAGAAATGGAAAAATGTGGTCTTTCAGAAGTATAGTGAACCCCTTGGATTCACGATTTCCACTGATTCCAGATTGTCACATTCTATATATAAAATGGCAGCAACACAGAAGCCAGTTCAATTTAATAATGAGACATGATCATCCACTTATTTTTCATATTCCTAGAACCAAACCCATGCAGATCCAGAAATAATTGATTGCCTACCTGTACCTGTGATCTTTCAAATGGCCATCAGTGTCCTCTCATAAATGGGATTTTGTGCCCATGTGAGATTTTGGAATTTTCTAGAACTGAGTAGCCGTCCCCTCCCTCCTGCCATACATGTCCCACCCCACTAAGCTACTGTCACCTCATTTTTGTAGTTTGTTGTAAATATGTACAGACCTGAAAGTAGGGGTGGTAGGGCAAGTTTGTGTGAGAGATCAGGTAAGCAACGTATTATTCGCTGTCTCTCATACATGCAGGTGACTGTAAAGCTCGCTGTTCGATGATCCTTGCATGAAAAAAGAATGCACTGTACAGCTGAAACCAGCATCCACTCTCCCTCTGCAATCCAGGCAATAATGATGGATGAATTATTGAAGGTTGTAGTCGTGATGCCACTTTGCACAAGTCTGGTAGAGAAATACCTCCAAGAAGAGCTGCTGAAAAAACTGCTGCTCCTGTAGAATAGGCTTTCAAACTAATATGTAAAGTTTTCTTTGATAGTTCATAAGTGAACTTGATGGTATGCAGTACCCATTTAGAAATTAGATGTGATGAAACTTGACTTCACTTCCTAGGTTCTCCATTGCAAATGAACATTCTTTTAGTATTTCTTTCAAGTACTGATGTTGGGTAAAAGATAGGAAGGACAATATAGTAGTTTAGATGGAACTGTGAAACTCCCTTTGGGAGGAATGAAATATCTGATCTAAGAATTACTGTATCCAGGTGAAACACCAAAAATGGTTCATCTGAGTGAAGCTGAGCAAGGTCACTCACTTTCCTTACCAAAGTAATAACCAAAACAAACACCACCTTCCAAAGACTTTCATTCACAGTTCAAAGGATCTGCTCATTAGTTGAGTGAATACAAACAGTGACCTCGGTCAGAGGATAAAGGTGCTCCAACCATTTTGAAAACTTTATCAAAGAATCACTGTAAAATGGCATAGACTCAGAGAAATAGCTGGTTGATGAAACACTATATCTGCTAGATATACTTTTACAGATGAAATAACAAGTGATGAACAGTTGAGATTGTGGAGAAGCTGATTCTATCATTGAGATATGAAAGAGCAGAGATGCTTCCATTTTTATTGTTTGTAGATTCTTTTCTAAATTCAGCAAGAATAGCTGTCATTCTAGAAGATGGTATGATGGTATTCAACATGCTGACAGATGAAGCATTTCCACATCTGTATGTAGGACCTGTCCTTAAAAACATGTTAAGCTGATGAAAGATGCACGATTCAGTCTTTTTAAGTCTAAGATCAAACCATGATTGATGAGTCCAGTTAGGTGCAATTAGGATCACACTGAATTCACCCTTGGTGAGTTTTTTTTTAAAAAACATTATTAAATATATTAAATAAATAAACACATAAACAGAAAATATAGAAAATATCTAATAACATAAAGTACAGCAAGTCATAAGTAAGCAAAGATTAATATTAATAATAATACAGTATAGTGCTATTTGACATAAACCTCCCATCTGTAACAAAAAAACTACCATATTTATTTAATAAAAAGTAAATTCCTGGTCAAAACCTGCTGACATCACCTCCTCTTCTTTTAGTATCAATCAAAGAGCAGGTTCCGGAGTTATGCAAACTGTTTTAAGAGGCTGATCTTTCAAAGGCTAACTTGTCCCTCTCTGCAATCTCTATTAATTTGCCAATCTATTTGTCCTCTGATGGGATCTTCAATGTTTTCCAGTATTTAGCATAGAATATTTGTCCTAATGTCACCATGTGCAGAATTAATCTTTAAATCTCTTTTTCTATGTTTGTAAAAAAACAAAAAACAAAAACTCTTGGTCTTCTAGTATTGTCAATACAGATGTGTTGGTACTCAAGCTGTTACTGACTGAATTGTCCGGCGTGTTGATACAGCAGATGATTGAACTTCCATTCCTAACAGTAGAAATGGTTGGTGAAATTAAAGAAGATACACATAGATGCTGAAACAAAACATGATAGGATGCTTGGAGCTGGTACAGAATAAACAAACACTGTTACTATGAAAACCAGAGAAATCGCAAATGTAGGTGCAATGTATCATTCAAGATGGTAGAGACAATCATTGATATTATGAGAGTGCTGTAAATTCCATAACGGTAATTTGAGGTGTTGTCTGCACTTGATATTGAGGAGATGCTGTAGTGTCTAGACATGATGAATGATATGATGTCAGCATTTTTCAAAAGGGTGATTGAGATCAAAACCAACTTTGACATCAAAGATAAGGATGCCTAGGGAAAGTCAGATTGTCATTGCAATCTCAAAAAGATGAACACGACTTGTAGGATTCTGGATATTCTCTCCCAAGCATGACACACAAGACCAATATGAAACAGGAATCCTCATGGTATTGGTGAGAAAGTCTGGATGATGCCTAGGATCCTTCTTTAGTAAAAAAAAGAACTGTGTCCTTGGCAAAGCCTTGAAAACCTTGATGGAAAATGTAGAGTTGTAGAAGTCATGGAGCTGTTAATGGTGGTTGTGTTGGAAAATGAACCATTGGTACTCTTCCATTGTAACAGTATTTAACAGAGTATCTGATATCAGGAGACAAATTTGGGACCATCACTGGTACTTCAAATTTTCTCTCAGGATGTTCTGACTTTTCCTTTCCTTCAGAGGACCATCTTTCTTCTCTGTAGGAGCATTACGCAATTGGGGGGACTTGCCTCTTGTGGCTTGATTTAGGACATTATTTCCAAAATTTTGCTTGATGATCAGATTGGGATTCTCCCACTACAGTAATAACAGAAGGCTGTGAAGCAACAGACTCCACAATGCTTGCTGGTACCACTGGCTCAGATGGAGTTAGTTAGTATTGATAAGGCTGTGATCTCTTTCAATATCCATACCAACATGGGCGTAGTCTTCATCTAGTTTTGTTACAAAGCAGAACACAGACGTATCTCTGCTGTAGGACAGTCAGCTACCTGTATTTTTAATTACTGGGCACTGTTTTATAAAGCCTGAAAATGTAAATCCCCTAATGCTTTACACAACTATTTTTCCTAAGCAGGAGATATTTGTTCCTATCACAGATACACTTTCTTCTAACAAGTAATATACAAGTTAAATAAGGTGCAGAAGAACCTATACAATGAGGGGGCAGTTGGAGAAACAAGGAGTGTGGGAATGGATTAAGCAATATAAAAAGTGTGAGTGTCTGTATGTATAAGGAAAAGTTCAAAAATAGAAAATGATGACAATAGTGGAGTTTTAGGAAGGGACTTGCTGAGAGAGAAAAGTGAAAATAAAGCTAGTCTAATGACTTGGTGTAACTGTAACTGGGCAGGTGGAGACATAAGTGGTTGGAGGTAAGTGAAAGCCACCAAGCTACACAATTCTAGAAAATGCCAAATGAAGTCTCGATAAGGCATAAAATCCATTTATGTAAGACACAGAGACCATGAAGAAGAAAGTGAATTTGTCAAAACTTTGAAATTGCTAAATAAACAGTGGGTTTCAATGATCCTGCTACATTCCATGCAGGATCTTTTTTCCATTGCATATAATATGTGGACATTTGCTGGGTTATTTTTTTATTACTTGCGAGAACATTTATTATCCATATAATTCTAATAGAGGGACTAGAATGAGCATTTTAATCAAATCCACAATTAATTGAATCCTCAAAAGTCAAACCTGCAAATGTGAAAGACTCCCTGTATAAGCATGTTTTTAAATATACCATATATTCCAGACCATATATTCCGGAATACAAGGCCACGGGGGGTATAAGACGACCCCCAAACTTTTGATGATAAAATACAGAGTTAGGGATATACTTGGCGTTTAAGACTACCCCCCTCTTCCAAGACTATGCCCAGGCAACTCTCCATTCAAGGACCTCCTCGCCCTCGGTGCTTACCTCCTCCGAAGACCACTGGGCTTGCCTAGGCCCAAGGAAGTGCCTCTGGACGCCGACACCTAGCAGCGATGGGCGATGGCGTGCCTTGGATGTGCTCCCAAAGGCATGCTGGGAGCAGTAGTTCCTTGACTCCTACTGCTCCCAGCATGCCTCTGGGAGCACATCCAAGGCACGCCGTCGCCCAGAGCTGCTAGGAGTCGGCGTCCAGAGGTATTTCTTTGGGCCTAGGCGAGCCCTTGGAGAAGGTAAGCGGTGAGGGCAGAGGAGGTCCTTGGATAGCGGGAAAGGGAAAGCCCAGCAGGCCATCACTCCCAGCCAGTCTCCACGGCAATGCGGCCTGCCACTCCTCCTCCCCATGCCCTCCCTCCTCAAGCCGCGCCACTAAGGGCGATATTATTTTTTTCTTTAACTTATTATTTTAATTTAGACCTGGCGTACTAGATGACCCCCAGCTTTTCATAAGATTTTCCAGGCATAAAAAGTCGTCTAGTATGCCGGAATATACGGTATATATATCAGGATCCAATTTCCTTATTACTGCATTCATGCATGAGATTGGACGCAGAAGAAAAACAAAGACTTCAGAAAAACCTCTAGACCTGGATTTGACAAAGAATGGAGCCCAGCACTGATCTAAGCATTTGTTTAAATATTCAGACATATATCATGACTGTTTACCCCAATAAGACAGGGTTCTCTGTATTCCTGATTTACAGTTTGTCCTTCACTCAGAGGATGGCATACTTTGGCAACGAACTATTGCTACTCTTCAGCAAGCCATTTTTATTTTTTCTTGTCAAAGTGTATATCTTTTTTTTCTAGAAAATCAGAATTTCAAATCACAGGGAGAGCCTCCACAGTCATAAGATTTTCACTTCATATTATCCTTTAAAAGTAAAAGACAACTGAAGTGTGCAAAAAGTAGAGAACAAGCACACTAATCCTTGATGCTTACATATCTACTATTTAAAATACACTACAACCTCCATATGTCTGTTCCAAAACATCATATGGATACTTGAAGCCATAGGTAATGGTGCACCCTATGTTTTGATTGTACCATGGGATAGAAGTGGAGGACCTAAACAAGAACTGAAACACTTCTGTTTTTGGGTCTCTCTAGATCTTCCAGCATTATTCTATAGCATGCTTGAGAGGCCCACAAACACTTCAAAAGGGGGGGAGGTATCTTGTGTGGGTGGGTGAGTCAACGAATATAAAATCTGAGGATAAGAAGTTATAGTGTACCTAAATAATACTTGTGTTAAAAATCAAGCATGAGCAGCTTGCCACCCAAACTCACATACTAAACAGTTATTAAAGTTACCCAACCCATAATTTTAAATGAAAGCACATATTTTATTAGCTTTTTGTATGCTATTGTACAATTTCTTTCTCCTTTCTATATGGTTTTAAAAACAAAAACAAAATTTTGGTCGTGAGCAGCCACTGAACTTACCTCCTATGCTCTGCCTTCTCTTTCTCAGGTGTTGACCAGGAGTTTGAATTTCACTTTCTCCATAGTCTTGGAGTGAAGGAGTTGAGCTAGGATCATCAATACCAAGCATAGCAGGTATCTTTTCCAGGATATGTTTTGGTAAAAGCCCTGAAATTAGAGAACCATTTTAGACAATAACTTAAAAACGTAGTGTGAACATTAGACAATTGAGCATTAGCAATTCTGGAGATCAGGTTTAAATTTCCGCTCAGTCATGAAATCCATGAGGTGACTTTGGGTAAATAATTCCCTCTTAGCCTGAGAAAACCCCATAATAGGTTTGCCTTAGGGTTGTCATAAATTGAAAATGAGTTGGGAGCACACAACAACAAAAATAAAATCTCCCAAGTTCAGGTTACTAAATATTCCTGTATTACCTATTTTGTCTGCCTGATCAATTAATGTCTGAAGAACTGCAGACTGTAAACGAAGTTTCTTCTCTGCATGAGCAGTCATCTTGTCAAGTTCACTTGATTGCAAGAGATTTGGAGCAAAAATTACTGCCAGGTTGCTACTATCCATTTTGTTCTCTTCAGACCTGAAAAAAAACCCCGAAATACAATAGATAGTATCACTTGTTAACGCAAGTGTAAATCAGTAATTTTAGACGACTGCTATTACAATTTCCATTAATTAAAGTGCTGATCTGCCCTACATTTGTAGAACACTTGTCCACATGCTGAATGCTTCTGCATTTTAATTATTTAGCAGCTACCTTACAACAAGATTTTGTTCTCAATACATTTTGCCATCTTTGCTAAAAAAATTAATACAAAGAGTAAATCCCCTTCAAAAGCAAAGGCACACCAGCAGGACTGTGAGAGCATTCAATGAGAGCAGCGGTCGGGAACCTATGGCTCTCCAGGTGTGGTGGACTTCAACTCCCACAATGCTTTGAGGCTCGGCACTAGCGGGCGGAGCCGAAGCGGCGAGGAGGCGCGTTGCCCGCAGGGGTTTCCGCCCGCTCTCTGCCTCCGAGGCCAGCCTTTGCTGCCCGTCCGCCCGCTAGTGCCGAGCCTCAAGGCATTGTGGGAGTTGAAGTCCACCACACCTGGAGAGCCAAAGGTTCCCGACCGCTGAATTAGAGGTTCCTTTCCCTCACATTCTCAGTACCTCTGAGTCAAGTGAGATGGTTGCTGTTTTGAAAGAGCTTGATGTAAATGCTGAACTGATGCTGTTTTTAGCATGGGTCCAGGAAAGGCGATGTTTTAAACTATTGGAAAATCAATGGGAATGAGGGAGAAAAATGGCAAGTGAGGAGCATGAATGAAGGAAATAGAAATGGGTGAAACAATACATACAGATTTATAATACATTTAACCAGGTAATCTGGCGAAAATAATTCGGTTCAACAGGGTTCACTATCATCCAGTTTTCTCTTTCCATGGTCAGGAAAGTTTCCCCCATGGATAGAAAATCATATTGCATTTATAAAATATATATGATAATGTACTTTTATTTCAATAAAAGTTCTCTTTCTAAAGTTAAATTTAAATATAGTAAATCAGATCCCAATTCAACTAAGATTAGAAAATTTCAACGTTTTCCAGAATATTTGTACCTATTATGCCAATCTCACAATTACTGAGGTTCTTTTCCAAACATACTGAAACATAAATAAACATAAACATAAACGAAGCATGCCTTGCACTTCCATTTACCTTTGAGAGACTTTTTTGAGAAACTTGAAAATATATCTGAGAGTATCAATTGTTTTGTCATTTATAAGACAAGAGAGGAGCAGTGTAGCAGAAATCCTCTCCTCACTGTTGAGTTGCTGAGCTTTGATAAGAGCATCTTGCAGGTTGGTAGGAAGGATGGGCTCAGGCAACTCTCTGAAGAACTGCTTCAGGAGCCCTGCAACATCACAGGGCTGTGCAGTAGACAGGCTGCTTTCACCTTGATCCAGTTTACTCTAGCAAAGGAGAATGAAGAGATATTGTCATCCAGCCAAAACTATGCTGAATGGAAGAGATACTAGAGGAAGTAATATATCAAGGAACAGAATGCAGACTTTTGAAGGATTGTATTTGTTAATATGGTATATTCAGAAGCATATATAAGAGGATATATTTTAACATATCAATTAATTTTATTCTGTTTGTGTACAAACGTTGTGTACAATGGTAGTCTCTATATTTATCCAGATACATTTGGGAACACATTAAAGATGCGAAAAAATAACAGAGACCTAGAGAGAACATTGTACTATACCTTTAATGTTTTCATGCGCACCACTGATCCAGATTTTCTGAAGAGCCCCTCAGTGTGAATGTGCTCTTCCAAGTATTTACAGACCTCAACCAAGAAACTGTGAGGAAGGGAAGGATTAAGAATAAGAATTTTTGCCAGGAACAATTCAAGTCTGCATAAACTTTTCTTATGAATTTTTTGACATTTTATTGAGTCAACATGATCTCCACATTGTAAACAATGGGTGAAAAATGTTTGGCCCCTGGGATGTTTTTGCAGGTTCCACAATGCTACAAAAACTTTTTTTATATTTCATATTTTATGAAATATTTTCTACATCTTGTATATCTGAAATATATAAAAATATAAAATATTAATTATAATATAAGTTTGTTAATTTGTATGGAGACATTGGGACACTCTGTAGATGTTGAGACACTCTGGGATTTATGGGAGTTGTAAGCCAAAACATCTGGGGATCCCCAGGTTGAGAACCACTGGACTAAATGGTTGAATGATGAATCAACATACAGGCAAATCTCACTGACTCAATCAGTCTACTCTAATTAGACTTCAGGGTATGGTGTCTGATGTTTGCTCCATTAGATAATACTACTCAAAATGAAGATCTTCAATTTCCACATCCTAGTCATGGACTATACAAATGTGTACTTAACTGGAGTGCGTCTTAAGTTATATAGGACACGCAGTTCAAATCTTCCATTGTGACAGGAACTGGCATACTTGTCCCCATTAATTACAAAGAAAATTGATGACAAATTATTGCTTTTTTCTTTTTGTTCAGGGAACACAATTTTTAATAGAACTGATTTACTCCATATTAGTGCCTAAATAAAATGCATGTCCTTAACCAAAGGTACAGACTTTACCTACCATGGTATATTTCCATATTCAGGAACATTCTGCTGAGGTAGTTCATGAAGAGGTATTCCAAAGATTTTGCCCTAAGAACAAAAAGACACAAGCATTTAAATTAAACACTTAATAATATAAATTTTGCTAAGTAAATGGCAATGAAATAAAATCTGAGTGAAATTATGGGTATATACTCTTTTGAAATAAACCTCTTTAATGTAATTTAACATTCTTTTTTCATGGGTTTCATTGGTTTGCAAGCTACATGCTCTGGGTTAGGTATATAACATCTGCTTGAACACTATACCTTAAAACCTACATAACAATTCCTTAAACTGGGAATGTTTAATGACACTTGTGATCAGAAATCCTAAATCACTGTATTTGTTAAGTAAATTCATATATGTTCATTTATTAGATTACTATTCTGCCCTATGCTTCCCTGACTACATATATCAAGACTGTACAGTGCTCATAAAAATGTAAGAGAATATTAAAGAAACTTTGAGATAACAGTTTTATCAGATGCACTAGACGGAATCTATAAAAGTTAATGCTACAAACGTCTTTCTTCTAGTTAGTGTCAAAAATGCTACAAGCTTCCTTTGTATGCCAATGCAGACTAAAACGGTTCTATCTTTGGGGGAAAATAAAGTATATATAGAAAATATTTAAACCTAGAGGAACTGAATTTTCAATAAATATTTCACATAAACCTCCAAATTAACTTGTTCCCCATAACAATAGTTCCTTGGGGAAAACTGTTTTTTTTTTTATGGGGCATAATTTGTAGCCAACAGTTTGCATCATAAGATTTATTTGGCAGTGTTTCTCAACCCAAGAACTGCAGATAACATTCTTATCTGATCACAATTCCCTCAGACACATGTTACAACACTGTTCTTCAAACTGCTGCTATTCACAAAAAGAGTCTGGTTCAACGCAAGCTAATTCACACATGCAACATTCAATTTCCAAAACCGTCTGAACCAGCAGAGCCCTCACTGAGTCCATAAGTTTTCTTTCCAGAAAATCTCTGAGAGTCTGAGGGACAAGAAGAATCGTATTTTCAATTAAGGAAGAAAGGGAAAAGATGGCACACTTTTCTAGCGCAATCCTATCTATGGTTACTAAATAGCAAATCTTATTAGGTTCAGCTTTTGAGATATAGCTGGAAAACTCTGGGTAGACTTCTCCCTGTCAGTAAGTTTACAGTGGGCTTTACCCATTGAGCCATTGACTCATTAGCAGTACTACAGTGATGAAAATATTTGGGTCCAATGGTGTAGACAACAGCTCGGTGTCCTATCTCAGTATAAGGTAACTTCCTAATGTTATTCAGTTTATGCACTAAACCGGGACTCAAAGCCGCTAACAATACAATAAGAACATACAAAGTAAAAAATAATATAGCAACCTGATTATCTAAAACTGTCAGAAATAAAACCCTATTTACAAATATGACATACATATTTAAAATCATTAATTAGCTCACTTGGGAGCAACCATTGCTCTAGATCCATACTCTTGGATCTAGAGCAGTGGTTCTCAACCTGTGGCTCCCCAGGTGTTTTGGCCTACAACTCCCAGAAATCCCAGCCAGTTTACCAGCTTTTAGGATTTCTGGGAGTTGAAGGCCAAAACATCTGGGAACCCACAGGTTAAGAATCACTGACCTGTGGTCCCTCTACAATTTATAATTTTAATTTCCCTGGAAGGCCTGTTCAAACATAAGTTTTCACTCCTTTCCTAAATGATAAAAGAGTGGTGGGCGGCCCTGATTTCTCTAGGGAGTTAGAGTAGTTAACAATTCACTCAAAATGGATTGAACCCAGTCACAAGACTTTGAAATCTCTCAGTCACAAGACTCCAATAAAAACAGTACGGAGACAACTCTCTAAAGACAGCAAGCTCAAAAATAAGGGACTACCCAAAGAATTACTACAAAGAGCAACCCTAAGACAAACTTTTCATGGGGTCTTCTTGGCAAGTTCTGTACTTTCCTCTGGGACCAAGAGTGTGACCTGCCTAAGGTCACCCAGGGAGTCTCCATGGCTGAGCAGGGATTCAGACCCTAGTCTCCAGCGTCATAGTCCAATACTATTTTATTTATTGAATTTTTACTCCACTCTATCCAAACCCTGAAGGGGTCTCAGAGCAGCTTTCAAATTGGCAATAATTCAATGCCACATTAACAGAAAACAATCGATATACAATATACACTAACATATAAATACATTTAAAAGCTGTCAAAATATTACACATACTCATAATTCAGAAGCCATTCCAATCACATTTCCATTTATTTCGTAGCTATACATAGCCCTGTGCTACTCTCCAAACGTTTGGTTCCATAGCCAGATTTTAACTTGTTTTCTAAAGGATAGGAGGGAGGGGGGTCGATCTAATTTAACTGGGAACCAGTACTACAAGCACTGCAACATGCTGGATCTCTCAGGAAATAACAGTGATGTAGGTATACACACAGATACATAATACTCAAGTGATTACCTGAAATCAATTATTTCAGATGTGTTTCTCTTATTACTGAGTGCCTTGTCATTTCTGACTTACAGAATCCTAACTTTGTTATCAGTTTGTGTTTTTTCCCCTTTCTTTTGCCTTTGTTCAGATGGGCAGGGATTGCCTTTGCCTTTCTCTGAAGCTGAGACAGTGCTCCTCCCAAACCCACCTAGTAAGTTTCCATGGCAGTACGAGGATTCTCACACCTGGAATATTGTGTCCAATTCTGGGCACCACGATTGAAGAGAGATATTGACAAGCTGGAATGTGTCCAGAGAAGGGCGACTAAAATGATCAAGGGTCTAGAGAACAAACCCTATGAGGAGCGGCTTAAAGACCTGGGCAAATCAATTATATCAGATGAAGAAGAGAAGGCTGAGAGGAGAAATGTATAAATATGTGAGAGGAAGTCATAGGGAGGAGGGAGCGAACTTGTTTTCTGCTTCCCTGGAGACTAGGACGCGGAACAATGGCTTCAAACTACAAGAAAGGAGATTCCATCTGAACATGAGGAAGAACTTCCTGACTGCGAGAGCTGTTCAGCAGTGGAACTCTCTGCCCCGGAGTGTGGTGGAGGCGCCTTCTTTGGAAGCTTTTAAACAGAGGCTGGATGGCCATCTGTCAGGGGTGCTTTGAATGCAATATTCCTTCTTCTTGGCAGGGGGTTGGACGGGGTGGCCCACGAGGTCGCTTCCAACTCTAGGATTCTATGATTCTAAGTGCCATTCGAGTAAATCAGCTTGCCTGGCCTGCCTTTGTCGCAGGGCCGCAGAAGAAGCCGGGCCTCTCTCCACTCACCTTCGCCACGCCACCGACTGCCGACCGCAGGGGCTTCCCTTTCTTCGTCTTGATCCCGTAGGCGGCTCGGAGCTGCTGCTGCACCGCCAGCTGGGCCAGCTCCCTCCCGCGGCCTTCCAGGGCTTCCATCTCAGCTGCTGCTGCCACCTTCCTCCCTCCTCGCCCGTCACCTCATATCAACTCAAAACCACCGCGCCTCCTCAGAGCTCTCCTCTGATTGGCTCGTGTCTCCTTTTCGAATTCTCAGGACCCCTGAGGCCCCCAACGGCCAGCGTCATGGGACGTGACTTCACCAACGCCTGCACGTTTGCTACGTGACCTTTACCCGCAGTCACACCGGCGAGGCTAATCTTCAAAAAGAGGAAGTAAAAATGTACCGTGTCTTTTTAAAAATGTTCAAATGTATTATTTACACTGCGGATTTTTTAAAAACCAGGCAATTGCTCAGGACGCCTAAGGGGAGCCTGAAAGTGCCTCCCACTTAGTAACACAACAAAACATAGACTCAAAAATAATAGAGTGAAGAACTCTGTCCCAAAAAAGTATAGACACAGACAGTTCCATTTTTTTCCTTTTTCCTCATTTTGTGGTTGCGTTACAAAGCGAACATTGATATTTTATTGTACAAAGGGATCTTTTAGCATCTTTGAGATGAACTGAAAAGAAGTGGCCTAAAATTTCATAGATTTAAGTCATTGTCCTTATAGACTCAGAGTTGGAAGAGACCTCATGGGCCATCCAGTCCAACCCCCTGCCAAGAAGCAGGAATATTGCATTCAAATCACACCTGACAGATGGCCATCCAGCCTCTGTTTAAAAGCTTCCAAAGAAGGAGCCTCCACCACACTCTGGGGCAGAGAGTTCCACTGCTGAACGGCTCTCACAGTCAGGAAGTTCTTCCTCATGTTCAGATGGAATCTCCTCTCTTGTAGTTTGATGCATTTGTGTTTTTTCCCTCTCCACAGTGTTTTCTGTGTTCCCACGGTGTTTTCTGATCTAAAACTACAGGAATTTTTGATTTCATTCTCAGGGTGCATCTAAACTGTAGGATTAATGCAGTTTGACACCACTTTAACATAGCTAAATGCTATGGAATCCTGGGAGTTGTAGTTTGTGAGGCACCAGCACTGACAGAGAAATCCAAAGATATTGTAAAACTATAATTTGCATGATTCCAAAGCATTGAGTCACGGCAGTTAGAGTGGTGTCAAACTGCATTAATTAACAGTGTAAATGGGCCCTCAGTGGTGTGGATTAGGATAGGGGACTGAGGCTGTCGGGTGCCTTCAAGTCATTTCTGACCTAAAGCAACTCTTATCACAGAGAGATTTTCTGGTGGGCAAAATTTGTTCAGAAGAAGCTTGCCATTACCTTCCTCTGAGTCTTGCCCAAGACTGAATCAGATTCAAGTCCTGGTTTCCAGAATCATAGTCCGATGCTAAAACTATTACTAACTTGGGCGATCCTTCGTTGTTCGAGTAGGATTGTCTTCCAAGTTCGGTGTACTGGCGGTTAGTCCATAGGTGACTGTGGAGCCCTATTCTTGATTTACACCTTCTCCTGCAGTGAAGGCATTGATTTCCAGGTGGAAGGTGGTCCCAGTCGGGGTTGGTTTGACACACCTTCCTCTTGGTACATTTCTCTCTTTCGTCCTCCATTCATGCCTCTTCAGATTCTAGAGCACTGCTGGTCACAGCTGACCTCCAGCTGGAGCACTCAAGGGCCAGGGCTTTCCAGTTCTCGGTGTCTATGCCAGAGTTTTTAAGGTTGGCTTTGAGCCCATCTTTAAGTCTCTTTTCCTGCCCATCAACATTCTGTTTTCCATTCTTGAGTTCGGAGTAGAGCAACTGCTTTGAGAGACGGTGGTCGGGCATCTGGACAACATGGCCGGTCCAGCGGAGTTGATGGCGGAGGACCATTGCTTCAATGCTGGTGGTCTTTGCTTCTTCCAGCACACTGATGTTTGTCCGCTTGTCTTCCCAAGATATTTGCAGGATTTTTCGGAGGCAACGCTGATGGAATCGTTCTAGGAGTTGCATGTGACGTCTGTAGATAGTCCACGTCTCGCAGGCATATAGCAGGGTTGGGAGGACAATAGCTTTATAAACAAGCACCTTGGTATCCCTACGGATGTCCCGGTCCTCAAACACTCTGTATTTCATTTGGAAAAATGCTGCACTTGCAGAGCTCAGGCGGTGTTGTATTTCAGTGTCAATGTTGACTTTTGTGGAGAGGTGGCTGCCAAGGTATCAGAAATGGTCAACATTTTCTAATGTTACACTATTAAACTGTATTTCTGGCATTGGAGAGGGATTGGCTGGTTACTGCTGGAAGAGCACTTTGGTTTTCTCAATGTTCGATGACAGGCCAAGTTTCTCATAGGGAGGAGGGTAAAGAAGTACTGCCAGAAAGGGGTCTTCCTCAGGAGGCTGAACGGGGTCAAAAGGAGCTTTTCTAGGGCCAGCAGATGGTTTCCCTATGGGACCCACTTTCTTATGGTCGGCTGTTGTCTCATCATCTTTGCATGGCATAAGGCGAGAGTCTGAAACTTCACTAGCTTTCCTTTAGCATAAAGCACAGTGCATTAGCTAACTCGTCCTATCTAGCTTCCTAGTGGCAATGAGACTGTAGCTTTAGGATGGTATCCTTGCCTATGCTGCTATGTACTGGCCAGAAGGACTCTCCCCAATGGGTGGAGAGACCATTTGCAGGTGCACAATTTTTCCTGACTTGAGAGAACTCCCTCCAAACACATCCCAGTGGGCCAGGATTTCCCCTAAAGGACTATCTTTTGGGATGGAACGGTCCTTCCTTGAGACCTGTGCACCCATTTTAGAATATAACCTTCAACCTCCCTAGTTGATTAAGGGTCTAGACACACCGGCCACGGTTGGCTAGCCCAAGTTCCCACTCATAATAAATCAGGTTGTCAGCTATCCAAAGATCTGTGAAGAGAGCAGACATAAAACACCACTGCCCGCTCCCCCTTTGACCAAAAGTTCTGCAAATATACAAAACTGGGCTGCAGGCTATTTAAGGCTGCTCCACCCTCCCGCTGTGCTCTTTGCTTCAGCTTGGGGTAGGAGACAGGTTCCTTTTTTTTGTTCTTAACTTGGTGCCTTGTTTTATCGCAAATCATTACAAAACGCTTCTAGTTATAGATAACAACATTACTTACACCTCTTTATTTTCAAAGTACTGCGTCCAGATGATGCCTACATTAGAAAGATCTATAAATATTTGACTCTACTCAGATTGATTTCAGGAAGCAGTTTTCATAATAAATGAATTGTGTTCTCTCTCACTCTTTGTGTCGTTAGTGTATTTTACTGTATGTGAAGGGGTGTTAAAAGTTCATTGTTCATTAAGCTTTTACAAGATATCTACTTATTAATTGCTCTTATTTGAGCTCTTTGGGATTGTATAATTGGCATGTTTCCCATAATACACTGATCTGAGAATTGAGTCTGCTTAGAAACCTGCTATAGGGGTAGGAGACAGGTTCCTAATGGGGAATTAGGCTTTCCCTCCTTGGTCTCTCCCCTCCCCTATTCCAGAGGACCAAAGGGTTCCCATTGTTCTGCTTTTGCCCCAGGCAAACCTGAGATGGTTTTTAAGCAACTGTTTAATGTGAATATAAGTGATTTTAATGTTTGTATATATTTATGGTTTTATGTCCCGACACTGAATGTTTGCCATATATATGTTGTGCTCTGCCCTGAGTCCCCTGTGGGGAGAGAAGGGCGGAATATAAATGTTTTAAATAAATAAATAAATAAATTCGCTCTACAGTTTGGGCAGTTGCTGCCCATGACATTTATTGGCAGGGATTTTCTAATAGAACATAAGGGTTGGAGGTTTGGTGGCTGCACTAAGCAAAGTACCCCTTCTGGGTTGCCTCAAGGAAGGTACATCCTATAACAGAGGTCCCCCCCTCAGAAGAAACTCTTCATAAATTGTTGCCTAGGTGAGTCACGCTCTCTCAGCCTCAAGTCATGATTGCTAGGCCACAGAGGAAGATTGCAGACAACTCCTTCCTTTAAAATAATGCTTAATGAATTGTTGTCTGGAGGGAGTCACACTTTCTCAGCCCCAGGAAGGCACAGGCCATTCCACTCATTAACTGTGTAAACACATACTAAGGCCTACATTTTATTGCATGCCTCATGTTAGGAGTTAAGCTTTGGCCTCATGTTAGGCTTAGCTTTTGCAATTATGATAGAGTGAAGTCTCTCTTGTTTCAGGCCTCATTAGGCGTTAAAACTTGCCATTATATTGGGAGGTGTCAGTCTTGTTCTAGGCCTCATGTTCAGCTTTATAGCCTTTGCCAGTATATTAGGAAGCCTTCATTTGGAGGTCTCCGTTTTGTTCAGACTTCGTGTCGGGCTTCATGCAACACAGTGATAGAATTAGATGACAAATTTGGTAGCAGAAGGTAAATGTGCTTACTGCTTTTAAAAATCAGATAATTGATGCCATTCTTAAATTTTTGATTTAATTATTTTTGCATTGAAAGGAGGGAAGCTTTTGTATTTATGATAAACTACCATTTAAGCCTTAAGAAGCATTGCTAACAACAAGGCAGCAGGAGACGACGGGATCCCAGCTGAACTGTTTAAAATCTTAAAAGATGATGCTGTTAAGGTGATGCATGCCATTTGCCAGCAAATATGGAAAACACAAGAATGGCCATCAGACTGGAAAAAATCAACTTATATCCCCATACCAAAAAAGGGAAATGCGAAAGACTGCTCAAACTTCCGTACAGTGGCCCTTATTTCTCATGCCAGTAAGCTAATGGCTCCATCTTCCGTACAGTGGCCCTTATTTCTCATGCCAGTAAGGTAATGCTCAAGATCCTGCAAGGAAGACTCCAGCAATACATGGAGCGAGAGTTGCCAGATGTTCAAGCTGGGTCTAGAAAAGGCAGAGGAACGAGAGACCAGATTGCCAATATCCGCTGGATAATGGAGAAAGGCAGGGAGTTTCAGAAAAACATCTACTTCTGCTTCATTGACTATTCTAAAGCCTTTGACTGTGTGGATCATAATAAATTGTGGCAAGTTCTTGGTGGGATGGGCATACCAAGCCACCTTGTCTCTCTCCTGATGAATCTGTACAAGGACCAAGTAGCAACAGTAAGAACTGACCACGGAACAACAGACTGG